AACTTATCAGGATAGTGGAAACATTTGTTCCTTGTATTATTCTCTTAAATAAACCAATTTTGATCTTATCTTCTAATCTTCAGAGGCTTCTGATAGTTGATGATGAAGCATGCTTAGAAGGACCAAAACTAGAATCTTTATAACCTAAGTCTTTAGAGTCTTCATAACTCATTCATCCAGATCCTTGTCTTCAAAGTCTTCAACACTTGGTTTGTAGAATCTTTGTCTTCAGAATCTTCAAAACTTATTCTTCCAGAACCTTTGTCTTTAATATCTTCAGATCTTGGACAAACAGAATAACAAAGCTTTGAGAAATCTTCAGAAGCTCTTCAACTAGAGTCACAATCAGAAGCTCTATTACTAAGGTAAAGTACAAAGAAATAAGCATACAATTTTATGAAATGACAAAGAGATAAACATAGTACGTAAAGTTATTAGCAACGCAAATTGATGTATAGAAGACAAGAGCAGATGTGTTGTTTGTGACTTTCTATTTATAGTGTGCCATGGAATAAGATTTTACATACTCATATTCTATAATACTTGAAGTTATATTAAATACAAAATATTTTGGTTGAATATTAAACCCTTTTCCATCTTAGTATTAATATACAAAACTAATTTATTTTTTATTTTATTTCTCAAAATTCAAATTTTAAAAAGGATTTTATCTTTCCCATATTTTCTTATTACTTTTTAATTGTTCTTTGTTCTGGTAATTAATAGTAATTACATTTTAAAAATATAAAGGATTTCATATCAATTAAACACGAAATATCACATCTCTCCTGTTAGATGTATAATTCTTGTTCTGTCAAAATGTTTGTGTAGTGTATGTCGGATAGATTTTGTATAGGTTGTAAGTTATATTCGACAGAGTTAAATACATCATATGTTGCAGTCTGTCGAAATCATGTTTTGTGCTTTAGCATTTTTTTCTAATTGGGCCTCGACATTGTTTGACTATATAAAGGGCTGTTGAGTTTGTAAATATACACAGTGAGAAATATATCATATAACAAACTCTCAATTCTCTCTCTTCTCTTTTCTTCTTCTTCTTCTCTTCCATAAATCATCTTTCTTCAAACCCTTTGTTCCAAAAAATTGGTATCGGAGTCTGGTTGCGATTCAGAGAGAATCTAATGGCAAACAGAACAACAACATCAACACAGTTTGAAGCGAATCTACCGGTTTTCAAAGGTGAAAACTATCAGCGGTGGGTTGCGCAGATGAAGGTTATTTTCAGATTTCAAGATATTTTTGAAATCATGAATGATGGAGTATCATAACTAGAAGCAGATGTGATGAATGCCGAAATAACTGCACACAAAGATCAGAGGAAGAAATATGGTAAAGCACTTTTCTTGATTCACCAGTGTGTGGACTTTGATGTATTCGAGAAAATTATTGAAGAAGAAAGAGAAAAAGGAGCTTGGGAAAAGCTAAAAACCTTGTATGGTGGAGATGAGAAATAGAAGAAGGTGAAGTTGTAGAAACTAAGGAAGCAATATGAGATGCTTTAGATGAAAGAAGATGAATCAATCTCTGCATATTTCTCAAGAGTTATGACGCTAACAAACCAGATGAAGGCATGCGGTGAATCAGTTACAGACCTGCGGAAGATAGAAAAGGAGTTGAGATCTTTAATTACAGATTTGGACTACATTACCGTGACAATTGAAAAAGCCAGGAATCTTTCCGAGACGAAGTTGGAAGAACTTCAAGCTTCATTGGAGGCTCATGAAATGAGGTTGAAGCAGAGAAACTCAGAAAGAGAGAAGGTGATTGAACAAGCATTGCAATCAAGATTCAGCAAGAAAGCTGGAAAATATATATATGGATGGCTCCTCATGTCTCGGCCATCTCTAGGTGGAAAATTTATAGATGATCATCTCGAAGATGAGCCAGTGCCCACGCAAATTCCTACGAATGTCGCTGCTGGTGGTGACATTGTTGATGAGTATGATAGGAGAAGGTACTTCCTCTGGATGCTGAGCGGATTTGGTCGTGATAGGCCATCAATAGCATTCATACAGGTTCCGTCTTTCCTATTTCCACCTTTTATCAAAACATTGAGTACAACGTTTGGTTTAAGTGTGGGGGAGGAACTCTATCGCTTTCCATTTATCTCTTTTTAGTTTGATTGATCCTTTTCTAAGTTTACTTCATGTTTTTAGAATTTTACTTGTTTTCGGTATTTGCTCGAGTCATAGCGTGTGTTGTCAAGTCTGTTTGCCTCTTTTCTGTTGTTATCGAATTTCCTCGTATTTTTAAAATTTTAGCCTCCAACAAAAATTTTCTTTTTGATTCATGGCACCATACTCTGAAAGTTTATAGGTTGTCTAGGCTTTGTTAGAGAGACTTGGGAAAGTTTCGATAAAATCGATACCGTTATGACACCCTAAACCCCTCATTATGTAATATCAATCTGGGTACCCATTATGTCAAGACCTTAGGCTCAATTTTCAAAGTAGCTCTTAAGTAGTTTATATTAGCAGTCAACACCATCTTAAACATAAACTACATAGGGAGTCGATGAATATAAGTGAATAATCCTGTTTTTAATAAATAAATGATTTAATTGAAAAATATCCTTCTAAGTTAGGTGACCCTCACCCGGTCATTTAGTCCAACGGTTGTTAAGCCTGTAAGGATTTAATAATAAGAATCCATTGTTGGTTGGCCCAGAGGTCACTGGTACTGAACTTGGTAGGGCGAGCTACGATTCGATTCCCCGTAACCACAGTTGGGAAAAATGGGTTGCACCACTTAAATACTAGAACCCCGTGCTAAAGAAAAGAAAAGGATCATAGTCGCTAACGATTTCCCCTACTATATGCGTGTACAGATAACAGGCTTAATGTGATTGCACTTGAATGAACATAGTGAAAGAAAATGAGAGATATAGGTTGAGTTATAATGGCATGATTCGAATTGGTTTGCATACAGTGGTAGTCTTTGTACATTGTGTCGTTACGGTTTCCTTGGTATTTAATACTTAGTACCTATCAAACTAACATTAGACTAGAAGCCACGTATGATTAGGAGTCGTGTTGTGCCCTTGTTTCAAAGCTCTCTTATCATTTCTTTTATCGTGTTGGTCGATTGCTTGAGGGCAAGCAATGATTTAAGTGTGGGGGTATTTGATAACACGAAAATGTATAGTATATTTGGCTTGATTAACATAAATTATGTCTTTATTTTAATTAATTAAATTACTCTTTATTTGTATTATGCTGGTATTTTCTATGTTTTCGGGAATTTGATGTTTGCAAGGCATGTGCGAAGAAAGTCGATAAAAGTCAAGCTAATCAAGAACAATTATGCAATTGAGGGGTGTGTGGTAGAATAGGGTGCACTAAAAGCAAAAAGCCCAAGAAAAGAAGCACTGGCCCAATCCACTAAAGGAGTGTAACGACCGTTACACATTGGCCTATGGGAGTGTAACGACCGTTACACATTGGCCTAAAGGAGTGTAACGACCATTACACCCTGCCACGCAAGCCTTTCCTCAAAAGCAGGAGTGTAACGACCGTTACACCCCGCGACGCAAGCCCTACCTGAAGTTCAGGAGTGTAACGACCGTTACACTGAGAGTTCTTCAATCTGTAGCGGCCGCTACGGAGGAAATTCCGGTGGAGAAGATATCTCAACTCCCGCGCGTCTCCAAGGCTATAAATAGGGCCCTCTCTCGTCCATTTTAAGAGATATATTTTATTTTTCGTTCATAGCTTTTTCTTAGAATATGAAAGTAATAGTTCTCCACATCGGGGGACTATTACCAAATTAGTTTTAGGATGTATTTCTACCATTTAATTTATGTATCAGTTCTAAATTTGTCGGCTATTTGAATTCAAGATTTCTTTGTTTCCATTTTCTGCATTTACAGATACTGATGATGTCACACGCCTTATCTTTAGAGTCAAAATTTATTTAGCAAAAGGTACACACTAGACAAAGACCGTTAGAGTATTAAATTGTTCTATAAGATATCATATAATATTATCATCAAAACTTAAAGTCATATGCATAACCAAATCTTATTCTTACATAACTATGAGAAAAAACTCATTAGTTAAGGGAGGTGAAAGAGACCGGGTATAATGTGTCTTCCCAACTTGAGTATTAATTAACAAACATGGTAATGATGCAAAAGGATTTGAGAGTAAGTAAAGCATATGTGTTTCTACCGCATGCTTGTAGCTAATGAAGATTGGTAAAAGTTATACGTGTTTATTGATAAAATTAAATACATTATTTTCTACTTGATCAAGGATAAATTACATGATTTTATTTTATTTTTATTTTTATATATACTATTTGCAAGAGTCAATAGAGTGTTTTGTTTGAAACTCAAGACTCCTCTAGAATATAAGATATACATATTTTTGTTTGGAAAACATAGTTAAATCTTTTGTTACCTCTGTTGAGACTCTTATCAAGCCAATGTAGTTTTGTTGAAAGATATTACAAAAGATCATAATTGTTGTTTTGATTGCTTTCAGCAGTTTTTATAGAGTGTGTTTTTATAGACTATTATTATTATTATTATTATTATTATTATTATTATTATTATTATTATTATTATTATTATTATTATTATTATTATTATTATTATTATTATTATTATTATTATTATTATTATTATTATTATTATTATTATTATATAGCATTAAATGAGATAAGTTAGTGCTAAATTATATTCGTAACCAATCTAAACAACTAATAAAATCCAAATGTGAGATGAGCTTAAAAGAGAGAAATTAGTGCTAATTTTGCAAACAGGTTAAAAGAGAGAGAATAATGCTAAATTTGCCTGGGGTTTGGATTCAGTAATAAGTGCAGCGTTTTGTGATCTTGGAAGCAAGCTTAAATCCCCTTAGTTTCACGGGAGTGTATTACGAATGTAATATATTGAGTTAGTTATAAAAATAGGAAGTTAGTTATAACTGGAGGCTAAGAGTTAATTAGAAAAGTAATCATACAAGAAATTCATATATTTATAATTTGTAAGGTGCTGCTCGTGCTCGGACTAGTTGTAGTGACACCGGCTCTCCAAGCACTGATCCGGCAGCAAGTAGTGGGTCTTAAATACACACAAGTTAATATTCCCATGAAAACGACTCCGAGACCGACTACCGTCACAGCAATGACCCATGTTGGAATAGACTTAGGAGAGTTCCGGTTGGTGTTGTTGGTCTCGTCAAAAACATCCTGGTATGGTGCAGAAGCAAAAGTACCTATTGAAAATAAAGTAAAACACATTTTCACTAGAAGTTATAACGGAATAAGAAAGAAGAAAAAAAAGAAGAAGAATTAGTTACCTGGAGGTGGAGGTGGGAGAGAAGCGAGAGCTACCGAAACAACCAAAAGCATGGCGACTATTGTGGAAAAACGATTTGCTGCCATGGCTGGAAACTGAGAGTATTGAAAAGATTTTATTAACAGACGGCTAAACTGTAAATATAAAAAGCAATGCAAGTGCAACAGTAAATATAACGACAACGACAAGTTGATGATGATTTTTGGATGTCATGCCGTTGATGGATTTAATGCAAAAAACTTTGAATTTTAGCGACAGATACACAAGATTATAAACTACAATCTAAACAAGAAAAATATTCTTCAATTTTGCAAATCACTTACCAGACAACAAATTCTTAAAACTTTCTGATGAAGCTTATAAAATTGTCCTAGTTGTAGAATTAATTATGTAGAATTACATGTACAGCAAAAAAAGTTAACTGTAGTATAAAAAGGTGGTTAACTGCTTTATAGGGTTTAGGATGTTTGTGTTGGATGTGTAGTAAGACTAGACATGATAAGATTATAAATGACAATATTAGAGAGTATTGGGGGAAACACCTATAGCAGATCTGTAGAATTTGTGTTAAGGAAAGTAGATTAGATGAAGTGGAGTCAAATAACTAGAGCTTGAGGAAGACCTATAAAAACTATAAGAGAAGTTATTAAGAAATATCTCGAGATTAACGATTTGGATAGAAACATTGTCCTAGATAGAACATTGTCCTTATTTTTTTATTATTAAAATTTGAATGGGCTTGTCTCTACTTATTTTTTTCAATTTTAAATCTCCTTGTCTGTGATGCACTTAACAGTGTTAGACCTATACGAAACTTAAAGTTAGATATGTATTTACTGGATATGTTTTGCCAGCGATTCATTCAAGGGGAGTGTCAAATATGGGTTTCAGATATAGACTTGGCACCAAAGTAGTGTACTTTATAGAATGTGAGTATCTTTGGTATACAATCCTTCAAAATAATCGAGATCAGCAATAAGATCCAAGCAAGATGGATGGAATGGAGGAATATTTGTGATGTAATATGTGAAAATGTGATATAAGAGTACTGGTCAAACCTAAAGGATTATCTTACTGCACACGACAATATAATTTATAAGCTTTAGGGAAGAAAGGAGAAAGAGTGGCTCGAAATCTACTTGTAGTGTATTGATATGGAGATGATTGAGTTGTGTCATCTCATTTATATATTTGCAATCAATCTGAACAACTTATAAAATCCAAATGTGAGAATACCTTAAAACACAGAAATTATGGCTTAAAAGAGAAAGAGAAAGAGTAATGCGTGTGAACATATCTAGTTAAATGATATATAGAAGAAATTATATCATGTCGGGACTAGATGTTATAAATAATGGTACAATTTTGTGAGAGGACAAACAAAGAAGCGTAGTAAGTAAAGTTATTAGCAACGTACATTGACGTATAGAAGACAAGAGCAGATGTGTTGTTTGTGAATTACTATTTATAGTGTGCCATGGAATAAGATTTTACATACTCATATTCTATAATACTTGAAGTTATATTAAATACAAAATATTTTGCTTGAATATTAAACCCTTTTCCATCTTAGTATTAATATACAAAACTTTTTTATTTTTTATTTTCATTCTCAAAACTCAAATTTTAAAAAGTTTTTTATCTTTCCCATATTTTCTTATTACTTTTTAATCATTCTTTGTTTTGGTAATTAATAGTAATTACAGTTTAAATATATAAAGGATTTCATATCAATTAAATACGAAATATCACATCGTTCATGTTAGATGTATAATTCTTGTTCTGTCGAAATGTTTGTGTGGTGTATGTCGAATAGCTTTTGTATAGGTTGTAAGTTGTATTCGACGGAGTCGAATACATCAGATATTGCAGTCTGTCGAAATCATGTTTTGTGCTTTACCATTTTGTCTAATTGGGCCTGGACATTGTTTGCCTATATAAAATGCTGTTGAGTTTGTAAATATACACAGTGAGAAATATATCATATAACAAACTCTCAATTTCTTCTATTCCATAAATCATCTTTCTTGAAACTCTTTGTTTCAACAAATTGGTATCAGAGCCTGATTGCGATTTAGAGAGAATCTAATGACAAACAGAACAACAACATCAACACAGTTTCCAGCGAATCTACGGGTTTTCAAAGGTGAAAACTATCAGCGGTGGGTTGCGCAGATGAAGGTTATTTTCAGATTTCAAGATATTGTTGAAATCTCGAATGATGGAGTATCAGAACTAGAAGCAGATGCGACGGATGCCCAGAAAACTGCACACAAAGATCAGAAGAAGAGTTGTGACGCTAACAAACCAGATGAAGGCATGTGGTGAATCTTTTACGAATCTGTAGAAGATAGAAAAGGTGTTGAGATCTTTAATTGCAGATTTCGATTACATTGTTGTGACAATTGAAGAGACCAGGAATCTATCTGAGATGAAGTTGGAAGAACATCAAGCTTCATTGGAGGATCATTAAATGAGGTTGAAGTAGAGAAACTTAGAAAGAGAGAAGGTGACTGAATAGGCATTGCAATCAAGATTCAGCAATAAAGCTGGAAACGAGAAGTCGAAGCAGCGAAATAATCTTGCTAGTGATGAGAAGTCAACCAAGAATATTGATTCGATCAAGAAAGGTGTGGGCAACAAGTATTCAGGGAAGAAAGTTGAGACGAAAGAGGTGCAATGTTACAATTACAAGGTTTTGGTCACTATGCGAGGGCGAAACATAGTGATGAAGCTCAATATGCACGAGCTGGAGATGATAATTCAGATGATGTGTTGTTGATGGTGAACACTAAGTCGAACACTGAGAAAAACAACATATGGTATCTGGATTCAAGATGCAGCAACCACGTGACTGGTAATAAAAATGGTTTACCAAGTTAGATGAGTAAGTCGAAAAGGTGATAAAGTTTGTAGATGGAAGGGACATCAAAATAGGTGATAAAGGAGATATTTCGATTGTCAAGAAGGATGGTCGAAAAACTTCTATCATTGAACTACTATATGTACCTTCTATGACAAGTAACTTGAAAAGTGCAGATCAATTACTTGTAAAAGGATTCAATATGAAGCTGGAGAAAAATCAGATTAAGGTATACAGGGCTGATGAGAGGCTAATAATGAAATCACCATTGGCATAGAACAAAATGTTCAAAGTTGGAGTCAATGCATCAGATCACAAATGTCTTGCTTCAACTACAGAAGAAGACAAGAACTGGCTATGGCATCGCAGGTCTGGACATCTAAACTTCAAAAGTTTATGCATGCTCAATCAGAAAAGGATGGTGTTTGGGTTGCCGTATATAAAGGAACCAAAACAGATATGCGAGGAATGTTGCAAAGATAAATAGGCAAGGAAGGCGTTCAAACATGACATGCCCGTAAAATCAAAGCAAAAATTGGAGCTAGTTCGTTCTGATGTGTATGGACCCTTTGAAGTGAAGTCAAATGGAGGTAACATGTATTTCCTTACTTTCATTGATGAATTCACAAAACATATATGGATTTACCTTATTTAAAGGAAGAGTGAGGTATTCACACAGTTCAAGAAGTTCAAGTTGTATGCTGAGAATTAGAGTGGCTGAAAATTGAAGAAGTTAAGAACTGATAGTGGTGGTGAATATACTTCTATTAAATGTGCTATATTTTGCAATGAGGAAGTTATAGATCATGAGGTTATTGCACCCTATATGCCTCAACATAATGGCACGATAGAGAGAAAGAATAGAATTATATTGAACATGACGAGAAGAATGTTGAAAGTTAAAGATATGCCTAAGAGATTTTCGGCTGAAGGAGCTACGACAATAATAAATATTCTAAATAGATGCCTGTGATCGGTGGATCTGGAACTGACTGTTTAACGCTGGTTCGCGAAATGTCGCGGAAGCAAGAGTCGCCACCGTCTTTTATTTTCTCCAAATGGAAAGGACAAAAGCACAGAAAAATTCCTTGTAAAGATTGCTCTCGGTTCGGGAGGTAGGTTATAGAAAGGGAAGGTGTTAGCACCCTTTCTATCCATGGTTATCCATGGGCTCTTAGATACTTGCTCATCTGTGTTTTCAAAATGGTTTGTTTGCTTTTCAATGTGGGTTTAAAAAGTTTCTTTTGAAAAATTCCAGATCGACTCATACGTCAGAGTGTTTGAAAAGTTTGCTTTGAAAGCTTTTGAAAAGTGTCAGTGTGAAAAGTCTTTTTGAGTTTGTTTTGAGATTAGAGCAAGTATCCTTGAGAACCTACCTACCCTAAGGAATTCGTCTGTGTAAATGTCCTTTAAAGTAGTGCCATCCCACCATTGAGAGGTAGGTAGCACCACCGTTGGAGGTGTTCGGGTCAATTCGAGGTTCGGGACATGGTGATCACCAGAGCAATGGGAGGACACCTTAGAAGCTACCCTCATGCCAGGTTCCTGGACATGAGGACTTACTAAAACATCCTCTACTCGACGATCACCTTTCGAAAGGCAACAGTGAGGCGTACCCTAGGGGTGGTGTGTGCGAATCGTGTGTCATGTTTCAATTATTTGTCTTGTCATGTTTGTCGTGTTCTACGCTTGATTTTAATTTGACATTCATTCTTTCATGCTCGATTAACAGTTAGGAGTGCGGAAAAGATAAATCTACGACTATTACAAAGGCGCGGGTCCACATCGCCAAAATTAAACCGGACCCGATTTAGCGAAAAAATAAATAATGCGAAGAAATAAAGTGCGAAAAGTAAATTACATGGCTTTGGGATATTTACAAAATTATAATAAGCGATAATAAAATAAATGCGCAATTAACTGGTTAATGACGGGCGTTGGACCCTTTTGCAAATAATTAAAGGTTAATGAGCATTAAAAATAAAATAATAAAAGGAATTAAATGTTTTTGATATTTTGTATTTTTTAGATTTAATGAGAAAAAAGGAGAATTAATTAAAATTAAATTAAACGGCAAACCCTAAAATTCTAATATTTTTTATTTATTAAGAAAGAATTGAAATATGACCTAAATTAACCTAATTCATTTATGTACAACTTAATTGGAAAATAAATAATAATTATTGTTGTTCTAAAAAGGGGAAAAATATTAAAAGGAATAAAAAATAGCAATTAACCTAATTCTACAATTTTGGATTTTTTATTAAAAGGAAATTAATATTAAAACCTAATTAACTAAATATTGACATATTAATTTATTTATAAAAATAATTATTATAAAATAAATATTATGTTTTTGTGTTTTTCTGATTTTTTATAATGTTTTTTTATATTTTATAGAAAAATAATTAATTAAAACAAATAATTAAAATAACCAATCAATTAAAACAAATGAAATAAATAAAATAAAAAATGAAATCAAACCAGAGTGGGGTGTAGTCCCCAAATAAGGAGGTGTTTTTGTGAAAGGCCTGGCCCAATAAGCTGGACGTTAGTTGACTTTCCATAATTCCATATGATGCGTTTGACCCATGCCTAGGGTGTTCTCCAATCCTGGCCCTTGACTAGATCTCCTGGGACGCGTGGATGGTGATTGTTGAATGTGCATGGTGAACCTTAACGTTAAGCCTGCATGTGAATTTGTTTTGAAAAATAATAATGAAAGTTGCAAGACCTGGGACTTGAACCCAGGTCTTTGAGGCCATATACACAACGCGTTACCACTGAGCCATCGTGTTTACAATTAACATATAATATCAATTAAATATCAAAAAGTAAAATCAATGCGTAATGGACTAAGCGCGCGCGAATTCAAAAAGGGCCTATCACGTGGTGACAACGAGGTTGTCTTCTTCCCCACCCTGTAAAACAAAATGAATAGGCGACGGTTTTTGTAGCATGGCCTTAGGGATGATTCGAAAAAATAGCGAATAGGGATATATGACATATAAATTCATCGCGAGTATGCATTCATCATTGTCTTGGTGCGTTGAATCCAAACATGGTGTTCAGAAGTCCCAATTTTTCTCCTACACAAAACCCCTAATTCGAGCTCCTGAAAACCCTAATTTTTGGCAATGGCATAATCATATATGGTTAACAAAAACGCAATTAAACATACTGGTTAGCATAGAAACCTCATGACAAACAATAATCTATAAAGAAAAATGCATGAGGATGCTTAAATCGTGCTATGCAATTTCAATATGTTCTTGATACGGTTTGGGTTCCAGGTACCAGTTCAAGGCGTTTGAGTTGTTGTTTTTGATTGAGAAAGATTCAGGAAAGTCTCAGGATGCTAATGAAACAAAAATCAAAGCTTGAATCCCCCTAAAACCTAGATTTCAGTATTGAGTTTTTAGGAGAATTTTTCAATATGCAAGAGTGTGTTATGCGCAGCTTTTTCAGTTGACTTTTTCAGCTGTCCAAATATAGCAACTTTTGCATCTTTGATGATTTCTGAGCCAAATTTTGAGAATCATGATCAAGCATTGATCAAATGATGTTTGTGGCTTCAAAATGATATGTTGACCAAAAATTTGAACTTTTGACTGTCAAATGACCATTTTGCCCCTACAG